GTGGGGTGGGGGGGTCCCCCTGTCCCCGGGGTGCCCCTGAGCTGTAACGTACTACCGAGCTCGTAGGGAAAACCGAACGCGGCTGAGCTGTGTGGGACCAGAGATGCCCCGTCCCCTGTACTGCTTCCGTTCCTCCTGCGTCTTTCCCCAGCGTCCTGTCTTCTCCTTTCCTGTTCCAGGTCAGCAAGGAGGCTTTTGCATGATGTGCGTTATGCAGAACCACATGATCCAGGCTTTTGCCAACAGCGGCAACGTAATAAAGCCAGTGTCCTTCATCCGAGACCTCAAGAGTAAGGATGGCTGCCCTCCTCTCCCCTCCCGTAGCTGTGCAGGAGAGCGGTGACTAATGCAGGAGCAGGGCCTTGGAGCTCGGGGCAGGTCATGGCAGATGGCTCTCCTGAGATGACTCACTGAGCCTGCTCAGGTTGGGGACTTCAGGGGCTGCATGGGGCTTCCCCAGTGGCCGGCGTGAGTCCGACACCTGGCTTGGGCTGGGGGGGCTCAAACCCTGGCGTCCCTGCCCCGAGGGAAGGAGGCAGGCAGGGAGGGAGGGCCTGCATCTGTTGCAGCACCAGCACGTGCTGAGACTGATTCCTCCCTCTCCTGCAGAGATTGCCCGGCACATCCGCTTCGGCAGCCAGGAGGATGCGCACGAGTTCCTGCGTTACACCATCGACGCCATGCAGAGGGCCTGCCTCAGTGGCTGTACCAAGTACGTGGGGCCTCTGAGGGCCCGTTGCTGCTCTTCTCCGTCCCCTCGTTGGTCCCCTGTGCCTGCGGACGGGGGCTGTGGGGTAAATGTGTCCCCCAGTTCAGACTTGTAGAGGGAGGTACTGGCTCCAGGGGCCTCGGGTGGATGGCCCAACTCCCTGCCCGTCTGTGTCACCGCTCTGGGCTGCTGTCTGCCTACTCCCTTCTGACTCCTCCAGCCCAGCATAACTGTGGTCCTGTCTCCTGCTCTTGAGGCTGCTCTGGGTTTGGATCCTGTCCCAGCTGCCAGGCAATCCAGATGTGCTGGCTAGATCAGCCCCAGCTCTGTGGCTGTGGGGGAGCAGCTTCCCCGGGGCCCTCCGTCCCGGGAAGCCTGCGTTGCCCCGCTCTGAGCTCTGGCCAGGAGTCTCTGCTCCTTCTAGAGCAAGGTGTGCATCGGAGCCTGGTGCCGCCCCTCGAGCTCTGGCACTGGGAGAGCAGGCTGGCCG